AATTCCACATTAATTAATAAAGTATGTCAGAACGTGAAAGATACACTCTCCAAAGTACCTTTAGTCTATTAGTCTCATTATAATGTATTTAGGAAGCACAGAAGCCAGCCTCCAAATCAAGCTGAAGACAGGATTCATCCTATCTGAGCACTCTACCTATACACTCTTCAGTCGCAAGAGGAGACTCAGCAGCTTCCCTGTTTTTCATGAGAAACAGCTGACCTTACCAAATGGCTTAAATCCTACGGTGCTTTCTAAGAGTATACAGCTACCTAATTCCTTCCTGTCTCCCTCTCTCAACATTTCTTCTTGGAGTTAACTTAGATCTAACTTGGTTTCTTGAAATTTTAGATATCTAACTCTTTCACACCATGCTTGGAAAGCCTGTGTGCAGTAGGGCTCCTAAAAATACGGATGTACACTCATGCGCCTTGTGAACATAACCCTGACATCACAGACCTATTTTGCCCAAGTCATAATGCCATCTAACTAATCTGTTTGCATCCAGAAGATAATCTACACCAGTCAGCAGGTTTTTTTAAAACATCAGCAGTATAAGCAAAGTTTAATAGAAGATCCACTACAGAAGTTTTTATCAGATTTTTTTTGTGTGTGTGGCTCTATCTATGATTAAGCCAGCCTAGAAAACGTGTCTATCTAGAAAAATATCCAAAGTAGATAATAACCTACTCATTTTCTGCTGGTGTGAGGAAGCCTATGAACTGCTTGATGATCATCCTATAAAATTATATTGAATTTTTTTTTTTCAAATAGACATGCTAGACAATAAATGCACAACACAGATTAATACACCAAAAGGATCCAGAAATAAATGTTACAGCTTTCTCTTCCCTTTCTTCCTCTGCAAGTGTTAAACAAGAATACAGACTAAAAGCACCACCCTGAATTATCTGCTTATTAAAGTGTCCTGACTTTGCAATATCAAGAAATTACAAACAGTCCAGAATTGCTATGCTGCAATTCGAGAGACTTCACTTTTAAAAGTTAAGGGCAGGAGATTTAAAAATAGGTGACCTTTCCATATTTTAGCATGGAAAATTTCCAGATAGACAGTAGGATGTTTAGAAGAAATGTTCCGTCTCATCACCGCTTCTTGAAGAGAAGCTTGTAAGAATGACAGGAGTTCTTTTCCTTTGCTCAACTGTCTTGAATCCATGAAGGCTCTTGTATCTGTCGTCTCTTGTTTTACAGAAAAACCCCCTCTCAGTTCTTTAGAAGGTACTTTGCTAAAAAAAATACCCCCATCAGAGACCAGATACAAACTCCAGCTCTTGTTCCACTCACTTAATTTTGAACAACAAAGAAAAAGAAATAATTCTGATACTACCTTGTAGGAGGCTGCAGTTCTGTAACGGCTAATCCAGTTTCAGCCATACCCCTGATTAATTTCCAGAAGAGCAAACAAAAACAGTAAAAGAGAGAGATAAGATGAGAGTGGCAAAAAAGACTAAATAGAAGTCACAATCCACCTACTTCTGCTAGTGTTCGATACTTCGCAGATGTATTTTTATGTGCTTTAGGTATGAATTAATGCTATAATCCTTTTCTTATTTTCCAGATAATGACATTTGTAACTCTTCCACAATTAGGGGGTCTGTATAGAGCTTATATTGTCTTAACAAATTCACAATATTTGATAACAAAAACTGTTAAAACTGCTGTTTCAGTTTAACATTATATATTCTGTTAGGACATTATTTTTAAAGTTATAGCTGTTGCAAATCATTTTTATAATCTTTTTTTTTCCCTTGCTGAATCCCACTTGCTAGTTCACATTCACATAATTTATTTAATGCAATCTGATTTCTCAACAGGTTGCATCATCAAGTTCTGTACTGAAGAACACTGGTGCTTCATTCTGATTTAGATGATTTTCAATACATTTCTCTAGATCCTTATTTCTAAAGCTATAACTTGCAGGAAAACATTAAACCATCACAGTTTACATTGATAAAAAAGATTATTACATTGTTTAGCAGTAAAAGTTTAGACTATCAGTAACAAGAGTATGGCAATTGTGTCCCCAACCTCCTCAAAGCAAAGGCTGATCTCACCCTTTTTACCTGGTAGGGGAGGATGATGTGCCAAACCTAAAGCAGATCTCCTGTCACCACAGTTCAGATATCAGAGTACAAAAATTCATTCCTTTTCCACCATCAGGGGTACTTTTGCTGATTCTGCTTAACTTCATTTCACCACAGAAACCTGCAAAAATAGTGACACATACCTAACAGAAAGGCCAAATCTTTTTCTCTTCTGCAGAGACACATATTGAAGGCCACAATTTCTCTCTTAATACCTGTAAGCCTTACTCTAAAATAAAAAAAATGATGACTTATGTCAGCCACATAAAAACTAAATGGTTGTTAGTTATCAAAATGACAGGATTATTATGATTACAAGTAGCTGCCTATTTTGTTCTCTTCTAATTTTTTAATTAATAATGGAATACCAATCTGAAATTACTATAGTTCAGAGAAAAAAAGATGTCAGTACTTCCAAGCCGTTCAAAAGCAATACACTGGCTTCAGAATAACGTATTTCACAAGCACATACTTCGGCACTCTCAAACTTCATCAGAGACAACAGTCTATCCACGGTTAGACTACAGGAACTTGCAACTTACACAAATATTACGAAGCATAATTTGTTTTTCTTTTTTTCCCCTCTTTTTACTTTTTTTTTTTTTTAAGATATCTGCATATTTTTTGGAGCAATGGCTTATGGCCTCAGAGCACAAGTGTCTTAGGAAGCAAGCCAGCTGCACATAAGACTGGGCTGATTTGTTTTCTTTCTCCAATTCTGGGGAACCTCTGTTCTCTGCTAAGAGAAACAAAATGTTTTATAGCCCAGTTTCTAAAGATTCTAGGTTCTTGATTTTTGTAACAAGCCAAATGTCTTACAAGCAATGATGAAAATGTGAAGATCAAAATATATTCCATGTCTGCTGCTGCTCTGCTCTACAAATGGAATAGGTTATTTGTGTCCCTTGGTTCCCAATACCAGTGTGAAAACACTCTCGATATCTCATGGACTTCAACTGCTGCATCAGTGCTAAATTTTTGATCCTGACAAGAAATAACCACTGCTGCTCTAACATTTTCTGAATTACAAAGCAGAAACAATTGTATTCAATTAAGCCATGGGATACAGCCTCCTTGAAGCATAGCTAGTAATCAAAGAGCAAGAATCATTGGTTCTTTAGACCATGAGGTAAGCTGAAGCATCGCTCTCAAAGGAAAGGACAAAATCCTGCATTGCAAAACTCTTCTGGAAAACCGCATGAAAACTTGTTCTTCGAATAACAGAAGTTTAAACTTAAGAAATGCTTACAAACAAAAATAGGAAGCAAACGCAACTTCTCTAACCAAGTGTCCACAGGACAGCTCACCAGCACTTCACTTTCTCTCTGAAAGAAATGGCATGAAAACACACATTTCCACTTTGATAGCCTGTTTCCAGTCATTTTAAGGGATAGAGGATTCATTCTGCTCACTGATTGGATGACCTGTATGGTCATTTATGCAGCAATTATGAACAAGAAATACTTGTATGACCAAAAGGCATAAGAGTACTACATACTGTAATATATGGATCTTCCTTGGGACAAATGTCATTTTATTATTACAAGTACAGATACCAAAGCTGAACCCAAAAGAGCTTTACTATGCAGACAAGGTAATGGAACCACATAAAATTGTTTCAGTAAATCAATGCAGGATCTACCTGCCAGAGAAGCAGTGGTTTGTTTGTTTGTTTAAATAATGTATTTTAGTGGTATTTTTCAAGTCACTGAAATTCTTAAGGAATAGTTCTGTTGCTATATCAAACTCTGGAGTAGTTACTTTGATTAGATGAAGTTTGCCTTGAGAAAGGTTTTCTAGGCTACCCCTACTAGAGAGCTATAATGAACAGTGGCATAAAGATGTACACTGAACAGGTGGTCAAACAAGCTGGTCTTAAAAATACAACCTTAAACTATGTAAGTGTCACTAGAGAAATGTCATTAAAAAAAGTCACAGCCCTAACCTTACTATATGAGGTGTACCTGACCTAAGAAAGCACCTGTGACTCAGCTAGTAATTAATGGATCACAAAGTTTAGAAATGAACTTGAGAAAAAAAAAAAAAACCAAAAGATCATCATCCTCCTCAAGTGGAAGGTATCAAGGGAATGTTTAAAAAAATAATTTACATCTCATATAAATAGCAATATGACAATTAACTTACAAAAGGTCCTGCTTTTTTTTGTGTAATGCATTAACAAAAAGTCTGTAAGTCTTTCATAAACAAGTAGAAAATTCAAGTGTTTGTGACATTGTTAACACTTTTTTCCCCACTATACACCAACAGAAGTCATTTCACAATGCTTACTAATATTCACTAGTAGCCATAACAGTCTGATTTAAAAATCCTCATATTCTTTGTCGAAACCACCTGTTCCTTTAATTATACAACACTTAATCCTCAGCTTTTCAACAGGCTCCTTGAGTCTTGACACTCACATGATACTCACAGAAATTTTGAAGCAATTTCTTTAAATTTCTTAGTTCATTGCCTATGTTCAGTCTTTCTTATGTCACCAGGCAGGCCCTATCTAACATGACCAAGAACTGCATAGGCAGGACCAGGCTCTCCAAGGCCATACAGCACTGGGTCACACACTTTCATTTTAGGTATAGAAAATCTAAAACTTCATAAGTGACCTGGTCTATAAATGACTCCAGTCTCACCCTCAACACAACAAACTAGGGAACTCAAGTTCTAACACAAGTGTTTGAGTTCCAACCCAGGAAGGGAGAAGATAAGTAAACCACATTTTAAATTAGTCAACCATTGTTGGGTGGGAGGGGGCAAGACGGATAAATGGTTTCAGATGTTACAATGCCCTCAAAGCAAGGAGCTGAAATGTATAAGAATACAGAAATAATGTGTTTAAGCTCTACTTCACAGTAGCGGAAGAAAACACAGAACAAGATGAAAATATATGTATAGCTTTACTGAATTCTCTTTTGAATACAAAATGTCTGTTGTATTGGATAAGGCAAGAATGTCCATGTTTTGTTTGTATAAATATGTGCAAAATCTTTTACAGCTTTTAAAAATAAATTAGTGTTCTGTTCTCTTCTTGTTCTCCTTCCTTATTTTTTTGCTCTTTCCTGCTTGTTTAGGCGATTCTTCCTGAAAAAAAAAAACAAAAACATTTCAAAACTTAATCAACATTCTTATATACTGTAAGTATTCTCTCAAGGTCACCCACGAGAATGATATTTAATATGAACAGTGTTCATAGTTCACTGGGATTTGCAAAAGATTTGAATTGTTAGAGCAGATATTAGGAAGAAATTTTTCGCTGTGAGGGTGGTGAGACACTGGAACAGGTTGCCCAGGGAAGCTGTGGATGCCCCATCCCTGGAGGTGTTCAAGACCAGGCTGGATGAGGCTTTGAGCAACCTGGGCTAGTGGGAGGTATCCCTGCCCTTGGCAGGGGGGTTGGAACTTGATGACCTTTAAGGTCCTTTCCAACCCAAACCGTTCTACAATTCTATGATAATTTGTCTGCTTATCTTGCTATTTAAAAACTTCTGCCTTCAGCAACGATAAAATTATAGACATAGCTATGCCAACAGAAGTATATAATGTAAAAATAATCTAAGCCATTCCCAGTCAAGGAATACTTCTACACTAGACTGCAAAACTGCTTCTAGTGTGGATGTGGCTTTATCAGTACAATTAAAACCTCTTCCCTAAGTGAACCAAGCCTACACTCAGAAAAACGAAATTTTGCCAGTCTTGCTGGATCAACATTGTAAAGTACAGCTTACTCAGTCTGACAATTCCGAAAAACAAGATTTTTCTTCAGTAGGCATTCACTGCAAGAACTGCTCAAAATGGTGAATGAATCTGCCACTACATCTGACAGAACCTGGGATATTTTCATCTTCTCCCTTCTACCTCTTACACATGGGAGGGAAACAGACCCTAACATGATGTTTGAACTCTGCTATTATGAAGAGACTTAGCTAAAATAATGTTTTTTCCAAGAGCCGCATCTGTAGTACTACAATAATAATAACCATAAGTTCCATCTGTTATTTTTCTGATGGACACTTGTGACAAAACACATTTGTTAATACACAGTGAAACAATACAGTCTGATTTAATTTGTTTAAAAAAGGAAGTAAGTAGTTTTTGATACTAAACCTTCTCTTGAGGGTAAATGGTTAAAAATCTTCTTAGAGCTTCTGTTCATTTTACGAGCAACACATTCAAATAAGTACATTGATAAACTGCCAAGAAGGTAAATCAATATATTCAAGTACCTCTAAAATGCAAAAAGCAAATAACTGAAAAGTGCAGCAGGAAGAATGGGGAAGAACACTCAGCTTTCAGACACAGCAATCTTAGATACTTGCACATAAAAAAGAAAACTGACAGTTACATACTTTTTCAAGTACCCACTAGTAATTATTTCTTACTGTCTTAAACTTTCTATTGTTAGAAATTACACACTACAAAGTATATAGACATATCTATAGATAGACATACTATTCTGAGGATGAAGAAATGTTGGAAAAACAAAAATATTGGATGAGTAAATGACCTAAGCCCCTTAAGAAGTAAAATGCCATTTAAAGACATTTAGAACTTTATTTCTTGAGTTGAGTACCTTTGAAACATTTTCCCTTAATCTTTTCTAGAACAGTAAATGTTAATTTAACTTCTCCTAGTCTAGATGTTTTTTAAATAGTGTTTATCATCTGTGATTCCGAAAAGTTACTTGGGTTTAATAAAGTTTTCACTTTTTAAAACGCGTACTAGCTACAGTGATTCCCAGACTCAATCTGCCGACACACTAGAACTGGGGGCCCAGGTGAGCATGAGAAACAGCAGCTGCCAGTGTTCTGAACACACAGAAAGAGGCACCTCCCCTTCCCATCCTCCCCCAACCCGCAAATTTGTGTTCTGGACCAATGTCCTCAACTGCTGCCACCCTTCTATCACACTCCTCACACTTACAAACCAGGTCACTAACTTCTTTGGAAGTTCTTTGGGCGTTTTTGCACTGATCCCATGCATACTACCATGCATCAAAGCAACCAGAAGATGACACAGGAAGTAGTAATTTTCTTCTGGCTTCATCTAACAGTGATAATTTACACACGTCCACATACAAATGCCTTCATTCTAAGTGGCAGAAACTTACCACTGAATGTACGTAGTTGTATTCCACAAGTATATTTCTTGCACAATTATTTATATGTTTAAAACGATCTGGTCCTAAGAGAATACCTCCGTACCAGCGGGATACCACAACTAACACACTGTGGACGTTCAAAATCTGTTTGTTTTTTTTTTTTTAAAGCAAAAAGAAAGAAAGAAAACTTGTTATTTTTCACATGAACTAGTTTTACTGTTGACACCCATTTTAAACACAGAAAAAGTCTACTATCTTGCATTTTTAAGAAGTTACAGTCAGGTCTGTGTCACACATACATTATCAGATGGTAAAAACTAATGACAAGTCAGCAGCTGTGGTAAGTTTCCTTCTCCAAGCTCCTACCCAATGGTAAATTCAAAGTAAAATGAGTCAATATATCCCTCAGAAAGGGTGCAAAGTTATCTCATGTGCGCTACGGTTGCTCATCCATGTGTCAAAAGCTTCAGGCATTACTTAAAGGGAAAATTACTGAGTTACATTTATTATTCTTTGATATGATGAACTATTATTTCCAGAGAACCTCTGTCACTAAACAGATTGTCTATCCACATTTTTGGCAGTGTTGGTGGATGAGGCTAATAACAGCCAGGGGACAGACATTATACATATGAATACCTAAACTGCCATTAGCTAGTACTGTTGCCATGTGCGGGACTTAGCAACAGCACCTGGATAATACATAAAAACCTCTGCATTTTCCAGGTTTGTGTCTTAGCCCCGTACAACCGAGTAGTTGCTTTCTGAATTCAAAAAGGCATATATGTTGACACAACATGAAATTATTGCATTAATAATTAGGATGGAAAGGAATTAAAGGACTTTATATAGCTTTAAGACTGTAACAAAAATCAAATAGACAGTTAAAGAGAAGTGGTTATTTCTTTTACTGCAACTGAAGGCAAGAAACATGGAAGGCCCTCAACAGCTTTACTTTTCACAAAGTCTAAATGTGATTTGACTAGACTTAAAAACTAGAACTTATTCCGCCTTGCAGTAACTCTGTCCTCGAGATCTCCCCATCATCAGCAAACACTAGTTGCACACGGAACACCAACTAAGCATCAGAGAGAAACATACACCTTGTCAAAAAATAACATATACATTACTGCATGGAATCGTGTAGTGACTATCATCAGTTAGCATTTTTTGCTCAAATTAGTCTTGCATGATTAGTGACCATGATCCTAGATCTGTCCCTCAAATGAAGGCATCCAAAATCTCTGTGGAAGTTCTCCACTTATAAACAGCTTTCTCTCAAGTCCTGTGCAATATGCTAACACATACAGATGGCTTGGAGCCAGCCAGAGCAAACACCATTTCATTTGCATAAGGCTGAGCGAAAACACTGTAGTCTGCCAGATTATCAGGGTAGTTTGGTGGAAGTGAGAAAAATCCCTTAAGAGATAACTATCAATAAAGCATGTTAACAATCATTCTTCATCTCCATTAAAGAGAAAAATATATATATTTGACTAATCTTAACAATACTATTAGAAGATTCTATCATTGTTTGTGAAAACAGGTATGTTCTTAGAATTTTAAAATGAAAAGGATAATGTAAAAAAAAGAAAGAAGGATTGGGGCAGGTTTTGTGATATGTATTTTCTATTCCACATTTACACATCAGCAATAAAGTCTATGCATAGCAACTGTTCACAGTAAACAGGTTGCCAAACATAGTTGGGAATTTTTTTAACTCTAAGTTCAGAAGAGTTAATCTAAAATACAGTTTCTTGTAAACGGAAAATGCTATCTTGACTGAAGTGCTAGGTTTATCCAAAACAAGGTAAGATTTCTATTGCAAAAGAAGAACTGTAATTATAGCCACAATAAGTGTATTAAACCACCTAATTTTACTGCCCATATCATATGTCATAAATGTTTATAACAGAAAAACTACAAGACCTATGAACATCTAGAAATCAGCCCATAAACTATTTTGATCTTTTCCTATGGGAGAAAATTACACTTCTCTGATCCCTACATCACTACTCTTCCAAAACAAAAATATTCCCAGCAACTGGGACTACAGATGGAGAGAGATGATTTAGACACATTCACATTTGAAAGGGGAAGCTTCACGTCACTTTCTAAACTGTATTTTTATGGAATGTTAAGTGCATAGACACAGACTTCTACAACTTCCAAAAGTATACATTAACATGCTGAGAAAAAGCTGGTAAGCTCAGAACAAATTGATGGACAGTAACTGCAAAGTTGTTTCTTTACATTACTTTTATTAAAGTAAGAGTGAAAGCATTGTTGTATGTGATATATGCAAATGTATGTGGTAAGTTTTCCTTCCTAAGTCAAGTTTGAGTTAGTTAGAAAGTTTAAAAAAATTCAAAATGAAAAATGTCAAAATATTGCCACCATTTTTTTTTCCAGAAAAAAAAAGAAAGCTTTGAAATAAAAAAAAAAAAAAAAGCTTTAAAACAGTCTCCAGAAATAAGATTATAACACACTAAGCAACAGAATACACAAACAAGCAAAGGACAAGAAAAGAAAACCCTTGTTTTGAAGTGGACATCAATCTAAAAAATCAAAATTAAAAACAGTAATTAGTGCGCTGATATAGCTTACCAACTTGAGGCACTGCATCAGACGTACCCAGCTGCCCCCTGTAGTTATGATATTTCATTTGTAGTTTTACTAGGGCTTGCATCATACCAGTGAATCAAAATTTATCGATTTACATTTAGTAGCAACTTAGCTGAGGGAATATTATTTCAACACTTGAAAACTAAAATATGTCAGCATGAGGGCTAAGGACCCAGAACTGCAAACAGCACAAAGAAATGGATTAAATGATCAAAACAACCTAACTCCTTCATTCCCACTACCTTTTGCATTTGAAGCTCTACTCTGCAAGTTCAAATGTGTCTTTTTATTATGAATATTTGAGGAAACTGAATGAAAATGCTGTGCACAGATCAGTGATTACACTGTCAATCATCTTCTTCCAGTCTTCATTGTCTATATACTTTACACTACATAGTAAGCACAGAAATCAATATTTAATTTTCTTTCAAACTGTTCAAACTATTACTACCACTCATGAAACACTACTTGTTTCTATGATCCAAGACTTGGAAATCCCAATTTACATGCATGCAACAGTGTGTTTTTTCTTTCACCTTTAGGAAAGTAATCAGCTATTTGGCTAAGAGAAGACCAAGAATTAAAATAATCTTCTACAATTTTATTTACATTGTAGTGATTTTTAAAATCTGTTCAAGACTGCCAGAAGTCAAAGATTAATTTCTATAACCTGCATAAGATGAAGAAGATGTCCACCTGCTGCTGTCTCCCCATCATCTTCACAATCCTGTAAGAATGTCTGCTTATCTTCACAGTATATTCTTAAAAAGAAAAAAAAAGAAAGAAAATTTTTAAAATTAGCATAGAATAGATTCAAAAAATGTCAACCAACTAACATTTTGACATGATTATGAAGTCTCAGATCTTCCATACACATGTGTAACAATTCTACTTTTCTACTATGGACATTTACATGAAAACAGGATGAGGCTTAGGGTAAACCACAGATATTAATCTGTGGAGTAGAACAAGATTTGAGAAGCTTTTACACTGACTTTAGCGACCTCAAGTTAACTCCAGACTCATTGCCAGTATGAAGTCCCTAATAAGAAAAATCCTTGTGTTTTTAGCCTAATAATTACACCTAGCTGAAGCCAACTCTATCAGATACAGGTTCAAATCACGGTATACACCCAAAAGCTGGAAGAACTTGGACAAAAATATTATGACTGATTAGTTAGGTCTGTAATTCAGTAGCAGCATGAAACAAGTACTGAGATCTGCCTTCAGATTCTCCATGTCATCTCCTTCCTCAGGTGGCAGTCCAGGAAAGTTCAGGGTGTATTGTTTCATATAAAGGACAGCTGCCTGGGACTAACTTTCCAGAAGTAATGCTCAGAGGTCTACTGTTTGCTACCGATTGATTTCATAACTTCCGAACTTAGTGAATACACATGTGATACAGTGACAAAGAGGCTTCTGGTAATAAATGACAAATATGAAGCAATAAGTAAGTTTCTGTTGCATTTCTGAAGTGTATTTAGATAGCATGAGTGAAAGAAGACACATGACCATCAGCAACAACAGAAATCCCCTCTTCACAGAAACCTTTTACTTAGGTAGACTTTTTGGTAAAGTAAGATTTCACTTGCTCTCCTTTTGTGTTTAATTAGGATCACACTAGGATGTGTGTGAATGGATCAGTGTCTATACATGGTTTTTCAGTAATAAAAGGGGCTCCCTTTACTGTCACTTACATTCCTCAGAAAACCTACATCACTATCTGGACTGAGACCAATTCATTTCACACAAACCATGTTCACAAAAGTTGCCAGAGACAGACTATTGCCAAACTCATTTTTACCTGTTTCTCATTTTCCCTGAAGTTTCTCGTATTTCAGCTGTAATTTCATATGCCAAATGTCAGCATCAGGCTTTCAGTTTCAACTCTTATTTCAACTAAAATTTTTTATCTGTTTCTAAATATAAGGTTGGAGGAAAAACAAAGTTACTTTGCCCAAATAAAAATACATTAAGTACAGGACAATGGAGGATTACCATGCTCATACCTACTATACAAAGTATAACAACACATGCTCAAATACACTTTTAGTCTTTTTTTATTCCTAATGCTACTTTATTACCTTAACATGTTTCCTACTATACATTCTACTTTCTTGACCTCAAATTCAAACAAAGCCTAAAACCTTTACCATACAAATAGGCAACCTAAACCCATAAACATTTAACAGCAAGGAATTTCTTTGATGGATTTTATTTTTCTCATGTCCTGCAGTCATTTGTCAAAGAACATTGAAAAAAAAAAATCACTATTCATCTCTCACCTGTATGCATATATGTTGTGGGTAGCACTTGCAATTTTCTTATTCTCATACAATTTTTCAAGAACTCTCTTTACCTTTAAAAAACAGAAATAAGCTGCCTTTTATAACAGGGATTTCATACACACAATCTCAATATCTCTGCTAAATAAACATCTCCCTCTTAATACTATAATGAAACAGTTTTACACTTTGACATAACACAAATTCAATATTCAGCATGATAACTCAAGAAGCAGCTTCTCAGTATCCTCATGCTAGTTTCAAATAATTTTTTCTGTGATACTGAAAACAGCTGTTTCTTGAATTCGTGTACATTCACGTTATTGCTGAAGAGCAGAAGCGTCAAATCACTTTACTAAACAGGAGAGACAGTAAGATCTAGAAAACATTTTAAATTGGTATTAAGCATCAATTACACCTGCCTACCTTTTTCAACTATATTAAGCTGAAGCATAATACAACTTGACATACATTTTCTCATTACATACTGCTTTTACCTATTTCACAAAACCACATGATGTTTAGAAAGCTCTACCACATTTCGAGTTTTTCCTCAAACATACTTTTTTTTCTCCAAAGTTTCCATTTCATAGAAAGAACAATAAAAAAGAAATAACGTTCTATCATGGGTCTGAAAGTGTCAGTATTTCCCAGAAAACAGATATTCCCACCATCTCCATCTCTCCGCACTTAAATACCAAATTCAAAACAATATCAGTCCGTCTTCTGTTTCTAATCAATCAAGCTAGCAATTGTTCAATGCTTTCCAATTTGGTCTAGCAAAAAGGAAAGCTTTGATCAAGACACTGTTTTAGTACATAATACAAAATCAATATTACTTTGAGCAAAACATTACTGAAGTTGAGAAAGCTTGGGAAAACATGCTTGGCTAATAAATTGACTTCCACTCCAAAGAAAAACATCTCTGAGGAGTAATCAATATACATATTTAATATCTGTCTTAGCTATATTGTGCAATTTCCAATTCTTCTGGAAGAAATTCAGCTTACAAAAATCACCTCAAACGTAAGATACCTCAATGAAAAAACTCCTATTATTAATGGAGACACCCCTGTTTTTTCCTTTTATTTTTTCCCCTAAAGGGGAATATTAATTAAGCTTTCATTACTTAATACACTTTCATAAATACATTTCGATACATGGACTTAGGACACAAAGCATATGAAATTATCATCACCTTTGACTTTACTTATTTGTCGGCTACCAGGCTCCTAAAAATATACCTTAAAGATTCATTATGTGCCTGTATTAGCAAAGAACCTCCAAGACAGACATCTTACAGCTAAGCAATAGTTTATCCTTTTTCCTGTTGTAGCTCCTGAGCCTTTTTCTACTCCCGTTCCCTCCTCTATTACTCCTGCTTTAAGGAATTAAGGGATGTAACTCTCTACATGACAATGAGGCACCTGCTCATACAAGACAAAAGATGCTTAGACAGCAGATCAGTTTAGTCCCACCTTACTAAGTCAATGTCAAGTCAAAGAACCACGTCCATCTCAAATGTCAGAATAAGCCAAATTGAGACAAGGAAAAGCACTAGTATCAAATATAGCCTGCCACCTGAAATATGCCTATTACTTTCTTTGCCCCATAAGGTTAACAGTAGCGTATCCTGTTACATAAGTAACTATGGTATTACTCCGGCTCTCATTATTGAAAACTACATTAGGAGTTATGTTCCTGTCCTGGGTCCAGCTGGGATAG